GTTGGGTTTAGGACTTGGTGCTGATTGCTTTGTGTCGTCTCCACATGCTATAGATATTTATTTATTTCCATGTTTACAGCCTCTACAGACGTTTTCCCTCTACTCTGTACATCAGCTGCAGAAGGATGTTTCACCATGCTGAATGTAGTTTCCAACAACTTGCTCCTCTCTGTGCTGTTTTTCTTGGCAATGCTGCATTTTATTTTATTTGTCGGTCCGTCAGGTCGGGAGTGGGAGATGAGGGTGCAGGCGTACGAGGACGAAGATGAGGATGATGAGCCGAGCCTGTGGACCAGAGTCCGAAGCCTCCTGCTGACCCTCAGCCTGCAGCTTTACCACCGAATGATGAAGGTCAGAGAGCAGCTGCAGAACGCCGTCAGGACACTGGGAGGCGCTGCCGACAAGGTGAGGAAAACCAGCTTCATCCTTCAACTGGGGGCTTCTTAACTTGACAGAACAGGTGGAGATTTGTTCAGAGGAAACATGAGGAGCTTCCACAGCAGAAAACCTGAAAGTATGTCATAATGAAAGGCAGAAACATGTCGGCCATGTTCGTGACTCCAGACCGACTCCAAACTTGACTGATTTTAATTCACACCTCAAGCTTTTATTTCAACACACGTTCATTCTCTGTGATACTGAGGGAAACTGAAAAACATGAACTTTCTCAGGCAGGTTCTGCAGGTATAAGGAGCGACTGCTGTTCTCTGGCTTCCAGATGTTGCCCACATCAAATTCAAAACCCTGACACTTGCTTACTAAACAATGACGAGAACAGCTCCCTCCTACCTGAACTCTCTCATTCAGATCTACACTCTCTCCCGCTCACTACGCTCCACCAACAAAAGCCGTCTGATACAACCACCACAACAGGGCCCGAGGTCGATAGCTAGACTCTTCTCCTCTGTGGTTCCACAGCAGTCAGTTGATGAAGGTTTTAAAGAACTTTTACAGAAATGTGAGAAGCAGTTAGTGACAAACGTCTCAGTCTGAGCTCAGGATATTTTTATTGATTATCAGATGTTATTTAAAGCAGAATCATTTTTATTTTCAGTCACGCTCAGCTTCGGTTCCTCAGGATTCGTCGAACACAAACGTGCTTTTCAGAAGCTGAGATCTGATCAGTGTTTGTCTCTGTCATGCTTCAGCTGCTCCTGGAAACAAACCGTTATTTCGCTGATAAAATCTGATGTGCAGCAGAAACAGCTGCTCCCAGAGGACTGGGCCGGTCCTTCCAGCTCTGTGAGGACCACAGCAGCTTCAGATTTCAGGAAATGAGCACATTTGTCTGGTTCTCAGAGCTTCAAACTGCAGTTTGAGGGCTCAGACATGGGTGTAGAGTTCAGGTTTGAACCCAGTTTGGGTCCAGGGTTGAGGTTGGATGAGTAACTCTTTAAAAACTGTTTAAAAATCTTCCAGAACTTGATAAGAGGCCTGGGAATACATTCAGATGGTTCTAAAACTAATCTTACACCGTAGCAGGACCAAAAATGATCTAATTTCCTAAAACGACTCATAATGTTAAGCTTGATCAAAATATTGTAAAACTATGCAACTGACTTTCCCCAAAATGCCCAAAAAGTTTCAGAAAAACTCTTCAAACTTTGCAAAAAATAAGTCCAAACACTGCACAGAAAATACCCTAAAATCTGTCCATGAACTGCAAAAAGGGCTCAAAAATAGTGAAGCTAACAAATATAATTCACTAAACTGATCAAAAGGCTATAAAACAAACTGTCCAATGAAAACAGCAAACCTTCCAAAATTTCCCAAACACCAAAAGTCCCAGACACCAAAAGTGCAAACAAATATGCATGAAGCGTTTAAAGCTTGTGTTAAATTTGTACTAAAACTAAACACAAACTGTCCATTTAAAACAATCTGAAACATTTTGTTCATGTCAGGGAGGATCCTCAGAGATAAATAAACACGTGTTTACAGCTACGTGACCAAACACACAAGTGTCTGATCACAATCAGAGGAGCCGATCAGACCGATTGATCGACCACAGATTGATTAAACAGCTGCTCAATACTGTGTGAGGAGTTTCAAAAGAAGTCAAATGATGTTATAGACACATAAAAACCTGTAAACAGAAGTTGACCAACAGCAGCGTGTCGGACGTGTGTCTGTGCAGGAAAGGCAGCTTCATTAAACCAAAGTGATGTTTCCTGCCGTTTATCTGAAGTCGGCTACGTGCTGCTTGAAGCATCGCAGCTGATGCAGCGATAAGAGGCTGTTCAGACTCTCAGCAGTCTGTGGATCTCATGATAAAAAGCTTCATGAGTCGCTTCAGAGGAAACACAGCAGCTGAACAGTCAAAGTCAGACGTCATCATTAAACCTCTCCAGCTGATTACTGACATTAACAACATGGCGCTTGTTTTTTTTGTATTTCACATTTACTGAAATTCTGTCTTTAATATGCATACAAAGTATTATCTCAATAAATATGCACCAATTTCCAATTTGTTAATTTCTAGAACATAAATCTGAATGTTGGATAAAATCACCTAAAAGTCTTTCAATGTGTTGACATTATCAGCCAATGTTTTCACAGAGAAGATTGCTCTAGAAATCAGAAAATCCTGTCAAGAAAAAAGGGGAAAAAATGTTCTTCAGGGTTTTAGAATTTTACAAAACATTTTCTTCAATGTTTTTAGGAATAAAATGTTGCATAAATAAGTCTGTGAATGATTTATGAACAAACTTCTCTGTAAAGAGAGAAAAAAAAAGTACAAAAATGTCCAAAAACATGTTAAACTCAAAGTCTGGAAAGTCTTAAAAAAATGTGCGGAACTGAATAAAATGTCAGAAAAATCCCCACAAATATGAATAACATATCAAAAATAGTGAAACAGTTCCTGAAATTCCAGTAATGTCTCAAAAAATTTAAAATAAATTTAAAAAGTATTTATTTCAACGGATATATACAAAAAAAAATTTACTAAATGTTCAAAGACATCAATAAAATGTCCCCCCCAAAAAGTAAAAGCTGCTGAAATGTAGATTTCTGCATCAGAGTGGGAAGAAAAATTCATTGTGAGAAAGAAAACATTTTGTAAAATTCTAAAATGCTATTTCACAGACATTAAACTGCTGCAGTTTTACTGGTCAGGCTATGATGCATCCCATAATGTTGATGCTCAAAGTTGGTTGTGAAGAGAATGAACATTTACTTTAGATTGTGTTCAGTGCAGGAATTAAAACCCTGATCATTTGTGCAGCATCGTTTCCTGCCCTGAAGAAAAGACGAGTGTTGGAAACTGGTTTGGTTGCAGTTCTTAGCTGATGTGTTGTTCTGCCCTGTCTGCTGCACAGATGACGTTATAAGGCTCAGAAAGTAAAATCTGGACCCTCCTCTGTGCACTTCAGGAGCCTGTAACTCTGAAAATATTCATAGAATGACGGTAAAACATAGCATGGCTTCATTAAGTTACTGCAGATCAACAATCAGCTGATTCTGAGCAGGTCATGGAGGAGTTTTGTTTAGATCTAGTTGGTTTATACAGAATCGAGTTCTGCTCTGACTTGTCTGCAGGGGGTTTTTGGATTTGATCCGGTTCTCTGTTCAGGACTGTTTGTTTTGCAGAGTTGTTTTGTCGCTCGGCGCCGTCGAGGATATTTCAGGTCACAGTGTGAAAACAGCTGATCATCACGTTTACAGTGAAACCAGGTCACTGCATTTATTCACTAATGAGACCTCATTACTGTCTGTGTGTGTGCTGGAGGTCAGAGGTCACAGTCTTCTGTTTCTGTCTGACCCAAATATCGGAGGAAACATCAGATTCTTTCCCAGGATGGTCTGAGCGGCACTTTAAATGGTACTAGAACTCACGGTCCGAGCTTCATCTGTTGTTAAACTTCCACATGAAGACAACATGGAAGCAGCTTGTAACTTTGCACATATGTTGACATCTTGTAGAGCCCTATGAACCAGATGTTGTTTCCTACCAGTGAGTCCACGTCAACATTTGGTCAAAGTTTCTAAAAACCTTGTCTTGTCAAACTTTCTACACATCAAATTCCACTGATGTTAGAGCTTCAAAAGTTGGTGAAGTCACGACCAAAGACTTTATTTTTAGTAGGAAATATAGATACATCCATATACAGTATATATATATATATACTTACAGGACCTTTCTGGGCCCATAATCCCATCCTGGTTTGAATAATTTTGACCTTTTTCCATTTTTAAGGTTCAATAATTAAAGAGAGTTTCATTTCTGCGGATACTGAAACCTAAAAATGGCTTCTCAGGTTTTTTGTATTTGAGGGTGAAAACGTCTGAAAACATAACGTTTTGAAAATTTGTCAGTTTTAAATCCAAAATGATGAGTCAGTGAACTGCAAACGGAATCTGAGACGGTGCAGAAACGTGTTTCCTGAGTTCTGTCTGAACTGACCTGGACCGACCGGGCTGCTTATAAAGCTGATGAAGCAGAACTGTTGTTTGTTCTCACGTGTCCCTGTGGTCGGCTGGGAAACTCTGCAGGCTGCCAGCTGGATCCAGGTTCTAATGAGCAGAACAACAGAGACTCTATGTTGGTGTCAGACAGTCTGAAGGAGGCGAAGCTCTGAGTTGTGGCCGTTCTGCTGTTACCGTTACATATTTGAACCCGGTCCAGTTGCTGATTCTGACTCCTACCTGCAGGTGGGTCTGGGTCGAGTCCTGGATGTGGTCGATGAGCTGCTCCGGTCCCTGCAGAACCTCCTGGTGGTCCTGCTGTACCAGGTGGAGGGTCTGAGAGAGGCCTCGATCAACAGGGTCAGAAGTCAGGTGGCCACGTTAGCCGAGCTGAGTCTGGTCCGTCAGGTCCGAGACCTGCCGGTTCAGATCCCACAACTGATCCGAGAGATGCAAGAACTGTCCAAGATCCTCCTGCAGCTGGTGATCAACGGCACACCGCTCTACAACGTGGTGAGTCCAGAGACGCACCTGAGACACACCTGAAATACACCTGAAGTTTACCTGAAGACATGCCTGAGACACACCTGGAGACACACCTGACAAGTGTTTGTGCATCACTCGTGTGGTGTGTTGTGCTGCGTTGTTTAGTGTAGTGTTGGTGTCCTCCTGACTCTGTGTTGTGTTTCAGCTGCAGCAGTCGTCTCCTCAGGAGGTCGAGGACTTCCTGAACCAAGAAGACTTCGTGTCCGAAAGCTCGTCTCGCCGCAGTTCAGTCAACAGTCTGTTCCTGAAGGCCATGGACGGACGTCCTCGCCGACGCCGCAGTCTGTTTTCTCGGGTCTCCCGAGGTTCTGGAGGCCTGCAGAGTCCTGATCCACCCAATGGAACCCGCTCCAGCCTGAAGGACGGCGCTGAGATGGAGAGCCTGCAGCTCCCTACCGAAGTTGTCACCCAGCGACGGCCGTCTGCCACTGAGCTGCTGCTCACGCCGCTCAAACAGTTCGTCTCCCAGAGCCAGAAGGCCTTCGAGTACCTGAGCCCCAACGCCGAGGACACCGCTGCCAACGACGACTCCTAAACGCCATCCTGAGGTGTGTCCCTGCTCTGACCCCCAACTATTCACAACCTCTGGCCCCGCCTTCCGACCCATCACAGTGTCCCAGTTCGGCCCCTCATAATCAGATTCTGCCTCGGCTACTGCTGACTTGTTCGTTCGTGTTCAGCCACAGAGCCGTTGTCAAATTATCGACATGTCACCAACGCTGGAATTCTGCTTCTCCAAAGAGGCATGCCAAAGCAGAGAGGGGGGATTATGGGTAACTGCAGGCTCACTCAGAGAGTTAATTCAACAGAAAACAAAAGAATCGATTGTTACTAAGACAAACATCTTTGTGCTCTCCACCAATGAAACGATGAGAATCATCCACATTAAATAAACAGACGATAACTAACTTGAAACAGGAAACTCTGATTTCAGCTTAATTCTACAGACACCGCAACAGAAAACAGAGATTCTTCAAATGCTTTGCATTAGACATTTCAATGAATTTTTTAACTAGACAAAGATCAACACATTTTATGTTTCTGTCATCGACCTGTTCGTACAGCACCAGCGTCACCTGAACACATCAGATCATCTGTAATAATTACAGACACCACCTGTGATCTTAATCCTGTGTGACTCAGCAGTGTCCACAGGTAATATGTTCTTAATCTGTAAATTGTTAACTAAATTGAAAGTAAGTTTACAATCAGCCCAGAAGCTACACTCGACTTGTACATGAGCTCTGGTTGGAGGTCATTAACTTCCACAGAAGTCTTTGTGCCCGTTGTGACCGAAACTGAACTGAAGTATAACAGTGGTCGATGCAAGATGCCTACTTATTGGAGAAGTACAATTCCAGCTTGAGAGATGAGAAAATTAACTGATTTAAGGTTTAATTTATTTTTTCTGCATCAGGAAACAAATTCATCCCACAAAAATCCAAACCTGAATTCTTTCCAGTGTAACTGATAAATGTTTAAAGGTGTAAATGTGCAGTAATGGTAAATTTACTTTAAACTTCAGCAAAGAATGCATCTCAGTAGACATCAGAGTCAGTTTTCAGAGCCTTTAATTTGTCATGAAGTCCATGAGACCCTCTGAAAGCTCTTTTTGGGGGTCCAAGTGCTGTTAAAAGGAACTTTTAAACTGATAAAATCTGTGTTTTCCTGAAATGTTGTTCTGTTTCAGTTCTGTATTGTCATGTAGTGATGAAGGATTTCTGTTCAGAGATGTGTTGAATGGTTTATTAGCAGGTTTTCTGTTGGTTGAAGGAACGTTCTTTATGATTCAATTAAAGACTAAAATCAGAGACAAAATCAAATGTAATCCACACGTGAGTTTGAACGTCGGAACAGCTTGAAACAGAAAAGTGATTCTCAGCAGAAGCTCATTTATTCTCTTTTTACATTTCCTCTACTTTTTGTATAATCCATCCTGTACCTAAAACCCTTCATGTAACAGCGACGTGTCAAAATAAAGCTTCTTCAAGCATCAGGATTCAAAACAGACTCAGATTCACTTTGTTCAATCAGGTTTTAATTAGTGAAAAACTAAAAGATCAAACATCCACAAACAATAAATAGTGATTTATTTACAACTGAGCAGAGTTTCTGCAGGTCTAAAGGACGTTTCCTGAAAATTATTTACAATTTGTACCTTAAAGAAGAAACTCTTAAAACAATCATGTTAAACTGGTTCATTCTCTTTCTGCCTTTTATCAGTTTCCAGGTTGTGTTAGTGACTGTTGCCATGACAACAATAACGGTAGTAAACATAGTAAATGGTTTTCTTCATGTTCAAGGTAAAACTGGCATTCCATTTGTGTTGTGTTCAATGTGACCTGCAGAAACTCTGGAATATTTTAGTTTAAAACATTTTTAATACAAAACCCAAACCATGATCATACATGAAGATCTGCACAAAGAAACGTAACCTCCGTTTAAAAAAATAATAATAATTTTAACAGCAGCTTTAACAGTCTTCAGTAAAGACCAGTGATTTACTGGGTGAACGTCTTAATGACTCCATAAGACGTGTGCAGGCCTGCTAGCGCCTCCTACAGGCTGCAGGGTTTATTAAACTCTGGATGGTTCATCCTCTGAGGAGCAGCATGTTTGTTTAAGACAGTTTTTGAAAAATTTGGACATTTTTTTAAATTAATCATGTTCACTGTAGGCTGCCTTCAAAAAGGTCCATGTTTACCTGAAGAGTCCACAGGAACCAAAAACAGGTTTTAGATATATTTTTTACTTCTACTAAGTATTATTTTGCCCATTTAAACTAGCAGCACAAAGCTCTGAACCACATCTAAACCTAGAGAATATTTGAGGCGCCAGCTATAAAAATTAGGGCTACTACTAATAAATTAGTCACCAATTATTTATTTTTTTATAAAAACAGTCTAAATTCTGTAATTGCAGCTTCTTAAATCTAAAATTTTTCTGGTCTCTTTCTTCCTCTATGACAGTAAACTAAATGTGTTTGGGCAAAACAACACATCTGAGGAAACACTGATCCACATTTTTTATTATTTTTTACCTTTCAGAGACCAAACAGCCGATAGAATCATCCAAAAAAGAATAGTTTGCTCCAGTCGCACTCATGAGTTTACTGCAGTTCATACTCAGGGGAGCACGAATGTGTCAAGCTCATTTTATTTCTGTCAAACTTCTCATTGGTGCTAAAATAACAAGAAAATTCTAGTGGAGCAGTCAGCAGGGTTCATCCTCTGAGGAGCATGATCTGCTCTTCATGTCACTTTCTGATGGGTGTCAAGACATTTGTTGTCTCGGTGCTTCTTGGCTTAAATCTGTCCAATCACCCGCCTCTCTGAAACCAAACTCGACTTTCTTTGACCTCCTTCACGTCGGCTCTCCACCTGCTCGGTCCGTCTCTGGCCTTCGCTGTCAGACTGAAGCCTCCACCTCATCAGAATCGGTAAAATCAACCTATTGGCGGCGCCTCTACTCGGCCCGTTTCTTCCCGAACACAGCCGACACACTCCTGACAATGCTGCGGACGCTGGCTGAGGTCTTTCTGAGTGCCCGGCGCTCCCGGACCAGGTCGACTAGCCGGTGGAACACCAGCAGGACTCCGTGGTATGTTTCAGCGGCTGACACCTCGAAGAAGCCACAGCGCTGCGACAGAGCGAGCAACCGGCCCTCCTCGCTGGACACGTTGCGGTGACGCTGCAAGTCGCGCTTGTTGGCCACGATGACGACGGGGACGGAGGACGGCTTCCTGCTGCGGCGGATCTGCTGCAGCTGCTGCAGCGCCACGTCAAAGCTGCTGCGGTTGCAGATGTCGTAGACCAGGATCATCCCGTCGGCCCACTGCAGCTGTTTGTCGCTGATGCAGCAGCTTTTCTCTCCGACCTGCAGATGAACAGACGCCGGAAAGATCAACACCTGGATCTTGTCTCGTCACATCAATGAAAAGGTCAGAAAGTCTCAGTAATGAATGTACAAATTTCAATTTAATTCAAATCAGTGGTCGTGGGTAAAGCCAAGACCAGGATGAAGATGAAGGATTAAGGACTATCAGAGCTGCCTGACTAAACATCTAAAATGTTCAATAAAACTTGGTATCTTCAGTTTGTAGGTTTCTGCTCAGAAGGTTTTGTTTCCTGTAGTGAATAAAACAAACACACAGATGGAGGAAGGACAAAGCAGGTTTATACCTGCAGTCAACATCCAGTGAGTCAGACTAGATAAGTGATGTCACTTCCTCCTTTGTGTAGCGATGCTGTTCCATGTAGCCACTGTTCTGTTTCTTCAGAACTCAGAGATCAGGAATAAATTCAATAAAACCAAGCTTACTTTTTGTAGATTCATATAATTGATTGTGTTAATGTGAATACATTGTGTTATACTGAGTGCAGGACCTTGAGTCAAGTCCAGCTCATATCATGACAGACTCTGATATCTGTAGATATCATATTGTTGTTCAAAAAACTGATGTTAAACGAAATCTGTGATTTACATCCTGAACAGCAACATCGCCTGAAGCGCTGAGGATCTACTGTGTGTGTGTGTGTGTGTGTTAGTCAGGTGTGAACCTACCTGTGTGAACTGAGAGTCCCAGATGTTGATGCAGATTTCCTGACCATCAATTGTTTCGACTCGACTGTAAACAGACTCTGAAAGAACAAAAAAATACTTGAGTTCAGCTGATTAATTTTATGACTGCAACACTAATAATAATAATGACAATAATCTAGTATATACAAAAATAAAGTTTTGACTTGAAAAACACATAATTTAGAAGAAGTTTCTGTAAGTAGTTAAATATCTTCAGTATGTGAAAACACAGAAACGTTTCAGAGGGTTCATGTGACTCAATAATCAGATGAAGTTCTCACCGATGTCTCCGTATTCTCCGATGAATCTTCTGGTCAGAAATCTGACTGTCAGAGCTGCAGAGAAAAATGTCATTATTAATATAATAACCCTAACCCTAACCCTATAATATAATAATATGAAAACCAGAGTTCTGACTTCATAAAATATTATTTTTTTATCACAGAAATCCAATTAACTTAAAAAATCTATTTTATTGTATACATTTTACCAGACTAGTTTAAATCTTACATTTAGGAGCCAACAACATTAATGACTTGTGTCCATATTAAAGTCAAACAGAGGAGTGTGTGTGTGTGTGTGTGTGTGTGTGTGTGTGTGTGTGTGTGTGTGTGTTACCTGACTTGCCGACGTTGTGCGCTCCCAGCAGCAGGATGTTCACCTCCACCCTCTGCTGGTTCCCTTCCATGACCTCCTGCATCCCCATCTGGACGGTTATGCTGCTTGTGCTGCTGCTGAAGGAGCTCTGAGGCTTTATATACACTGTGTGGGCGGGGCCTCGGAGCCGTCAGTCACAGCCTGCCGTCCTGTGATTGGTAGACAGTCTTCAGCGTCAATAAGGAGGGTCGGCAGCTTCTAGTGTGAATATTTTCTAGTTACTCTTCTCCTCGCTGACAGTAAACTGAAACTTAGGAAACTCCGACACAGAGCTCATTGACACAGTCGATTACTAACCTTCTGAACCCCCAAACCCCATCTTTAAACAAAGACAAAAAAGAAGAATTGTCAGCCATGAACTGTAAAAAGAGAAAGAATCGTCTGATTTTTGAGCTTAAAACTGTAATATTTCATCAGAATCACTTGAATGTACACATCTCACTCATAAATAAAACAAAAAGCAACTGCACCTCCTGTAAAATCAAAAAAGTTTTGCTGCATCTCAGAAGCCATAACTGACCTTTTAGGTGAACCGACAGAAAAATAAAGAAAAAAAATGAGCCCACAGTGAGGAAAAATGAGACGGGAGCTAAAAACATCCAGAAACTGTTTGGAGTTCAGAGAGTTACCAGAAGAGTTTCCGTGATGCTGCTTTAAACTATATTTGGTGTTAAAATGTCTTCAATGTAACTGAATGAAAACATTTCTGACTTGTTCATATCTGACATCCCATCAGCTGCTTTGTTTCTCTGTGAAACATTTGTTTTTGTCTCCTTTACTTCTCTGAATATTACATCTTCTTCTTTTTAGAGTCAAACTGTCTCACCTGAACACTGCAGCTGTGAAAAACCTTCAGGACACGCTGTCGACCCACAATGCAACGCTGCAGCAGCTGCTGGAAGAGAAATATGAAGACGTGAAACATCTCAGAATAACTGAAGAAGCAGCTGTTGTGTTTGTCTCCACCAGCTGGTGTCATTCAGCATCACAGACTGTAGAAAAATCAGAAATACAGTCGGATTATTTCTACAGCTTCTGTTAGTAACTGTAGTCCTGTTGGTTTTATTCACTTCTGACAAAAAAATAAATGTCTGTGGTTAAAAATATTAAACTAACAATTTATTGTACTGCTCTGTAACCTCCTGGAGGAAACATTTAACTTCAGATTAAATAAACTCCAGATTATTTACTGTTTGCACCACAATTATCTTTGTTAATCTTTCAGTAGTTAGACAACACTTCATAATTGTATTAATTAATATGTTAATGAATACATTTCTTACATTAATAAAGATGAGACCTATAATGGTGTGAAATAATTTAGTATTATATCTGTTCTGACTGAACACTGATCAATAAACTGATCAGCTGGTTTTCAAATCCTGCAGATTAAACCTGACATTATGTTTAAGCAGCAGTTGAACAAACATTCAAACACTTCACATCAGACTTATTCCATAAATGTTCAGTGAAAACAACTTTCAATTGTTGTGATCAAGTATTTTATATTAAAAATATTCTATCTTTACTTTTGTATTATTGTGACATGCAGTTACATATGGTTCAGAAAACATCACTTCTGTATTAGACTTCTTTATGGTTAATGTGCTCAAAGATGGGACTTTTCATGAAGGCTTCAGCTTTTTTCATATTTTAACTCACACATAATCAAGAATTTTTTTTCCCAATATTACAGTGACATCAATGACAGGATGAGAAATAACTGAAAATTTCAATCTCAAATTTCAATGTGACAAAAACCTGACAAGACAGATTTTTATTTTTTTTTAATCTCAGAAAGTGTTTGATAGATCAATCTAAAATTCCAGAGATACCCTTATAAATGTATATTTTATTTAAATTTCATTTTTCAAATCATCCATTCATCCATCCATTATCTATACACCTTTTAATCCTCACTAGAGTCGCAGGGAGCTGGAGTCTATCCCAGCTGACTTAGGGTGAAGGCAGGAGACACCCTGGACAGGTCACCAGTCTATCACAGGGCTACACTTAGAGACAGACAACCAAGCACACTCACATTCACACCTACAGACAATTTAGAATCACCAATTAACCTCAACATCTTCTTGGACTGTGTGGGAAGAAGCCAGAGAACCCACGCTGCACGGGGAGAACATGCAAACTCCATGCAGAAAGATCTCAGCTGTCCTCACTGGGATGCGAACTGGCAACCTTCTTGCTGTGAGGCAACGGTGCTCACCACTGATCCACCTTGCAGCCCTCAGGCAACTCATGGTTGAGCAAAAACTCTTTTAAAAATGTGACAATTTGAGGTGATGAGTATCTGAAAGAAAGCACTTCATGACATGCAAGAATCCTGCATTTTAAGTACAGAAGTACAAAAGGTAAATGTACTTAACTGCAAGTAAAAGAACAAAGTCTGTCCCTAATACAGAATAATAAATGATAATCTTAGTTATCTAATGTTAAGGTTATTATAGTTAAAGCTCAATCAATTATTTATAAGATCAGATATTATTGATTCACTTCAGGCTTTAAAGAAACATTGCGGCTGTTTTTCCACAATTTTTCATATTTTGTAAAGATTAAATAACAGAAGAGAAAATCTGATTCATCAGGCAGTTTGTCAGTTTTCGTTGTTTGCTTAATTTAGGAGAATTTATTCAGTATTTAAGGTACTTACACAATAATAAGATGTTTAGCTGCTGTTTCTGTTCGAGCTCTTCAGTCACTGATCAGTTTTAGTCAGATCAATATGGATTCACTGATCTATAAAAACCTGATCAAACTGTGCGACAGGACACTGTTTGGATTTCAGTTCCCAGAATTCTCACCTGTCGGTGGCTGTTGGTCTCGTGATGTATGTGATTGTGTGGCTGCAGGAGCCTGAACCCTCCTGTTACTCCGTCTTGATCCTCTTGCTGTCTGAAGGACACCTCACATCCAGGAAGTCTTTCAGTCTCTTCCTCATCTGCGACAGTTGGTACGCCGACGTGAGCTCATCTTTGTCAGTCGATGACTCGTCTTTGTCTTTGTCTTTGTCTTTGTCGTCGGTCGAGTTGCAGTAAGCAGGTCGTGAGTTTGGAGCTTTCAGGTCCGAAGGATGAAGTTCTGAACTCAAAGTTTCTTCCAACTTCTCCTGGAAACTCTGCCGCAGCTCGTCCAGAACATCGTCCTGGAAACAACCGACCAATCAAAAATGCACACGGATTTTTATTCTAATGAAGTCAGGAAATTGATCACCACAAATTAAAAGACTGATCACAGACTGACTGAACAGAATCAACACCTGCACAGGTGAGTGTCACATAAACACCAAAACCAAACAGATCCGAGGGCCACAGAGACACAACCAAACACATTCAAACCTACGGACAACTTAGAATAACCAATTATCCGCAGCATGTTTTTGGACTGTGGTAGGAAAGCGGAGAACCTGGTGAGAGTCCACGGTGCACAGGGAGAACATGACAAACCTGTTCTTGTTATTTCAGTAGAAAGTAACGAGGCTCCAGTGATTTATTATGCTGCTGGTTATGTTGGTTAATGATTCATGTAGGCTAATAATCTGCTGATAGAGTCACTCAGAGGAACATTTAGTTCATCTATTGACAAGGATTCATTTCTCTGCAATCAATCGATTGGTTAAAGAGCAGCTACGATTAGTTTATATTAGTTTTCTGTACAGAGAAAAATTAACCAAACTGAACCCACAGTCTGTGTGATACTGAATGAAGTTCCAGGTGTTTGTACCTGCGAGTCCTCAAACAGAGTCCAGATGTCAGAGACGACCTGAGCAGCTGTTTGATATGAAGGAAACTGATGAAGAGTCAGACGCTCCGAGATCGACTGCAGACGAGACCAGCAGGACTGAAAACGCACACATAACATAGCTACGTTATCTATAACATCTGTATTCATTAATATAATCATCTTCATCAGTATTATCAACACAAATACAACTTTTATTTTTGCTGGTGTTACAAACGGACTCCATGTTATCTGGCCCTAAAACAGAGTTGATGACAAACAAGGCTGTAAAAATGCAGCTTCCTCTACTGCAGACTAAAGGAGCTTCTGTTAGAGCGCCACCTGCAGGATAAACTAGTATCATACAACACACAATCAGCCATAAGTCTGACATGCTGAGAGAAGGTTAATGCAGTGGAAACTCTAATTCACACAACTAAACAGGACATTCTTCTAATTAACAGTTAGAGCTTCCGGTTGACTCAGAATGATCCTCACGTTCACAGAGAACTGCAGACTTTAAATCTGGGTTTAGGAGTCAGTGTAAAGCATGGATCTCCAACTCCGGTCCTCGTGAGCTACGGTCCTGCAGGTTTTAGACGTTTCCATACTGCAACACACCTGATTTAAATTAATGGATCATTAACAGACTTGTGTAAAACTTGACAACAAGCTGTTGGAGATCCATTAATGTGAGTCAGGTGGGTTGCAGTACGGAAACGTCTAAAACCTGCAGGACAGTAGCTCACGAGGACTGGAGTTGGAGATCCCTGGTATAAAAAAAGAGAAGTGGATCAGTAGAAGGTCGGAAGCAGTGAAATCAGACTGAAGATAAACTGACCTCAGAGAGTCGACTGCAGCCTTCAACCTTCAGGTGTAGCACAAGACTCTCACACCTCTGAAACACAAACACAACAAGTTAACAAACATGGACAATAATACAACAACTAAACAACAAGAATCTCCACTAAATCCATGAAATGATGTGACTGAAGGCTTGTTTCCATCCTGCAGTGAGAAAGAGCTGATTAGCCGCAGAAGAAGAAGACAGACAGATGAAGTTGGGCTGCAGGACATAAAGTTTCAGCAAGACATGACATAAGGAAAATTTAGTCAAACACATCAGGATACCACTTGTTTTTGCTGCTTGATACCAAAAGAAAACTTGCTCTGTTCACATTTTCGATAAATTGACGTTTGTCTGATTTAAGGGTTCTTAAATACACTGAGTTCTTTATTTAACAGTCTGTTGACCTGCAGCTCCACGTCTTCAGCTACAGGAGAGAAATTTTGATTTAAAAAAAAAAGAGATTTGGTTGCACGAAGGAATCAGCTGTGTAAAAATATGTCACTACAGAAAGGAAGATGTTTGATGAAAGTAGGTTTGATCATTTAAATCAGCAGCACAAAGCCTTAAGAGCTCCAGTCAAGGTTCAGCCGATGGAATCATGATACAAATACTTGATTTCTGTTCAATTCATATATTTAAGGTGGAATCAGAGATTCTAATCCTCGCGCTTTGCTTACTGTCCATTCTGTGCGAGCAGAGTAAAGTCCAGAGTTCATCCTGGTTCTGTATATGAAAACAAAGAGAGCGGCCCGGATCGATGTTTACAATTACTCCAGCATGCACAGAACACAGAGAGGAAGGCGAGTCTGGGCCGTGGTAACTACGTATGATAACAGCTAAGTATCAACACAGACGTCTTCATTTATTCACTAAAGCTTCCTTCAGACAAAATTTATGTTTTGTCATCACTGTCATCATTTTATATTCAGTCATGAACCCAGAAGTTCATGTTCTTTTCTTAGAATCAGTTACATTTTCAGCATTTACACTCTTTTTACGGTTTCTTCTGTGCAAACTGGAATAAAATGAAGTGGATGGAAACAGACTGACAGCAGGAATTTCAGAATTTCACTGTCATTTCTCATCATGTCGTGGATTCAGAATCTCCAATACTGGACATTATATCAAATAACCACTTTGAAACTCCAGAACTTTGTTCTACTTGTATCAGACTATCTACCAGCATTTTAGTAATACCAAGTTTTTCAAATTAAAAGTATTCCATAAGTTTTCTATTATGTAACATGCAGCTACATGAGGTTCAAAAACTATCACTAGTTGACGCCTGCATTTCAGTTTTTGGTTAATGAGCTTAAAGATGGGACTTTTCATGATATAAATTACAAATATTGTACATTGTAGATTCTGGTTCAATGAAATGATGAGAACTAACAGTGAAAATTTCAAGTTTTTTTCTTAAACGGCTCCTGAGACATTGTTGTTCAAACAGCCTCAAATTTCAACGTGAGAAAAAAAAAACCTGCTGAAGGTGGGTCAACATGGACATACGAAGCTACAATTTTATAATAATCTTTTAAAATGTGTGGCGGCTCTCTGACCCTTTGGTTCTGCAGGCTGAGACTGGAACTCTGAGGACTGGATGGTCTGTCGGAGCTATAAGGGTCTGAAGAGTCCGATAGGTCCTGACATAACGAACAGAACCATTCTGACCTGCAGGAACAAGAGGACAGACACATGGACAGCAGAGACACAGAACAGAAAATATTATTAGCAGCAGCTTCTTCATCAAGAAAGTTCACTGTTCAATGTGAAATGACACACGACAATAAAAGTTCACCAGAACCAGCAGATGAGTCAGATTAAAAGTTCAAACTGACAGATGTCAAAGAAGTCATTGGTGTGGCAGCGTTTTGTTCAGGTGACTAAAAGTGTATCGCATACATGTGTGTTTAGAAAAGACACTATTATAGTACAACACATGCTAGCTATGTAACATACAAAGAACACACAGGCTGTAACGGTTAATTCATCCTGTAACCAAATAATTGATAAATTAGGTCCACATATGGCAGAACGACCTCTTCATTTATTTCTTTTCATGTATTATTGATCCTGTTTTAGTGGCAGAAAGGTTTCATGCTCATATTCTTGGATGGTAAAACCTGATAATTGCTTATTTGTTTCTCTTACGGCTGCAGTGAAGTTTATGTTCATTATTCCAGCACAAATGCCATTTTGTACAGTTGCTAAAGTTGCCAGATAAATGTTGTGAAGTGGAAAGTACCCATTAATGAAAAAGATTTAAGTAAAGTACCTTAAAGTTGTACTTCAGTACTCTACTTGAGTAAATGGACTCAGTTAGAGCCCACATTCATGTCCTTGCAGGCTACATGTCTGTGTACATGATGAACTGCACTAATTGTGGCTGTTTTCACAGAT